CGTAACCTGTAAGCGATGTGACCCCTGCCCACACCCACCTCCTACCCCCAACTCCTAGACTTCTATAAGAACACACAGGCGGGAACAACAGCCTCAGCTGGCTGGGAGCGCAGGAGTGTTGAGGACCCTGATCTGAGCCCAGGATGATGAAGGTCTCCACAGGTTGGCAACAGAAACAGAAAGAAGCTGCAAATCCTTTAAATGATACTACAAAATACCGTCACCCCAAATGCACAGTTATCAACAGCATTACTAATATCTCAAGCTTTATATTTAGAGATTCTAAAATTTTTAAAGGGACCAGTTTGCCATGCATGCACACACCCCCCACCTGTTAAAAAATTGGGGCTTATGCAGAGACCTGATAATTTCCTTTAGGACAAAGTGAAAAGAAAAAAAGACTCAAAATTTACAACGAGCCTGCCCCATTCTCTTCCAACATGGTACGTCCTGCAGCACTGGCCACACCATACCAAGAAGGAACCTGCCCCGTTCCCTTCCAACATGGTAGCTCCTGCGGCACTGACTACACCATACAAACAAGAAGGACCCTGCCCTATTCCCTTCCAACGTAGTGCCTCCTGCGGGACTGACTACACCATAAAAACAGGAAGGAACCTGCTCCATTCCCTCCAACATAGTGCCTCCTGCGGCACTGACTACACCACAAAAACAAGAAGCAGCCTGCCCCATTCCCTTCCAATATGGTACATCCTGCGGCACGGACTACACCGTGCAAACAAGAAGGAGCCTGCCCCGTTCCCTTCCAACATGGTAGCTCCTGTGGCACTGACCACATCGTACAAACAAGACATCCGGGTGTGGCATTAGCTACACCACACAAACGAGAAGCAACCTGCCCCCTCCTCTTTCAACAAAGTAGCTTCTGCAGCACCAACTACACCATACAAACAAAAAGTCCAGGTGAAACAGCAAAAGAAAAATCATTCTTTTCCACTACTTGTTAAGTAATTTTATGTGATATGTCCTAAGCAATTAGGAAAATACCAACAAAGGAAAAACAAGCCTTAGAAACCCTGTCATCCATCTGTGACATGCAGGCATCACACCGTAAAGCAAGAGAACTAGTAGAAATGAATGAGTTTTAAAATCTACCATTTCGACATTTAGAATTTCAAAAGTTAATTCCAAATAACATTTGTCTTAGATATGTCATTGCAGCCAACACCCGAAGGTCGCTTGGAAATACAGCACGGTGGGCGGCAGTGGTGGGTGAGGGACAAGAAACGACCTTCAGGAAGGAACAAGCGAGCAGGAGAAGAAAACACGGCGCCTTCAAGTTAGAAACAAAAGGAAGAAACAAAACGAAAACAAAAGCCAAACGCGATCAGAAAGAAACATGGGTGAAATTTTAGACAATAAAAGGGAAATGCTTAATGCGAGATTTAGTTATCCGAAACCTTTTGAGGAATGTTGGTGAGCCTCAAACATAAAAATCCAAACTCACTGCAGAGGACCCACATGCCCTTCATAATTGGAATAAAAACTGCATCATCTGACCCAGCAAGGATGTAGAGGCAAAGCTGAATCACCAGAATTTATCAAAAGGAATATAAATTCTCTAAATTAAAAATGATGTATCAGAAACAAATATCTGTCTTAATTCTTTAATCCCATATATGAAAAACCAAAGCAAACCTAACCAAAGCAAATGCTAAACGTGTTGACTGGAAGTTGCAGTGACAATTCTAAAACATATTCGGATTTTTAGGATCACGTAAGGAAGCCCACGTATTAATATGTTCTATAAGATTAATACATTCTATAAGATATAATATATACCATCAGGACAGCCATATGGTGATGTGCTGAGAATATTGAGTAGGGACTTCCTGCATGGAGTGTTAAGCTGTTAATCTGAAAATTTCACCTGACATGGCCGACACACTAGTCAAGAAACAATAAAGAGAAACGCAACCAAACCCAGGCCAGAGAGCTAGTGCCATGCAAGGACACGGTCACAGTCTCTCTGGGTGCCTGGAGAGGCCAGGTCACCTCCCCTGGAGCAGGGAGGGTCCTAGTGAGTCAGCACCAGCCCAGGCAAGGATGGGAAGGTGTGGGTGGGGAACCAGGTGCTGGTGACTGAGAGGGACGCTGACGCGGCTTAGGAGACCGCTGGAGGGGAACTTAGCAACTTACTGGGTGTGGGGAAGCTCTGGGAACTCAGGGCTGAGCAAGGCAAAAGTTAGGACCAGGGGAGGCAGAGACACACACATGCCTTTGGGGTGGCTCTTGGGCACAGGTGCAGAAGAGGGGACATCCCTCAAGGCAGGGGACCATCTAGAGGCTAAGGTGAGGGACTGCCACCCAGATGGGGAGGATAGTGAGGAACTCACGGTGGGGCATCAGAGGGTCTCTGTGTCTGATGACTTTACTCAGCAACATGGTGAGGTGGAGGGGGAGTCTCTGGCCAGGCAACTCCAGCGGCAGCAGCGACCTGGGGTCTGTTGACCACAAGGCTGTATCTTACCAATGGCCTAAGATACTGGGAGGGGTTTTGTGGAAGACACAAAGAAGTAGGCTCCAAGTGGCTAAAAATCTGCTCGTTTGGGCTCTTTTTTTCACAACTGGGCATGAATAAATTTGAGCTTGATCCTAGGAGGCTTTGGCACTAACAGGTCTCAGCCTGCAGAGAAAAAGTAAACCACCCAGGGGCCAAGGGGCAGGGCCCTCTGTGGCTCACTTTTGTAACAAGTGAGACACGATTTCTGAGCAGATGTTTTATTTTTGGTGGAATACAATGTGTGAAGCCTTGAACATAGGGTACTTTAGATCCAGATGTTGTAAATTCTTAATGAAAACTGTAGTCATCACCACAGAAGGAGAGAAACCAGCTCAGATCTAAGTGTCCCCAGATCACGGCTGCCAGTGCCAACGTCGTTGTACGGTCAGCAGAGATTCTCCCAGGAGCATCAGTGGAGCTCGCCCAGCAGCAGGGGCAGAGGCGCCTGAGACAGCAGCAGGGCCTCTAGGAAGGGCCGAGCAGGAATTCATTGGTGCTGGCTGAGGCCCTGGTCTTAAGGTTGTTAAATTGTAAACTGAGGCACAATACATTTTTTAAAGATTTTTTTTTTTTTTTTTTGAGTGAACAGTGACTTATGAATGAGGAAGCACCAAACCAAAGAAAGGTTCAGGCTTTATTGCAGGACCTAGGGGCAGGCTTTGAAATCCATTCAGAGAACAGCCCCGCCCCCACATCTCCAACACCACTGTCCCCAGGAATCCCCACCCTGAATGTGCATCTGCAGGTAAGACCGCACCCTGCCCTGCTGAAGACCCTGCTCCTCCCCGTGCAGTCCAAGCCATCTCTGCTCTGGCCTCTGGCTCAACAGTGCACCTGCCCCATCCCCTCCTCCATCCAGGCCCGGTCCCTCCAGCTGTGCATCCCACCAGCCTCTTCAGTGTCCCCATACTCCCAGGCATCATCTCCTGCGCTTCCTTTGTCTACACCTATGTCTTCCACCAAGCTCTGAGGACAGGACACGTGCCATCTCCACCTCTGAGCCCGCTTCCATGCGTGAACACAGGCACCCCAGGCTTCAGGGGAGGAGGGGAGGACAGCAACCTCCTGTGTGGTCCTGACCCACCTCCGTGTTCAGCACAGGCTGCGTCTTCCAGCTGCGGCTCCACGGTCCTAAGATCCGGTCCTTACACATAGCCAGGTTATGCGTTCCTGCTGTGGGCTTTACAAACAAGCTCTTACAGCTCAAAGAATGGAAACAAATTGCCCTCTGATAAGTGGTGATTCCAGGTCTCAAATCCAGGGCTGTCCATTTGCAAAGCTGTTGTTCTTAACCATCATTGACCCAGGATGCCGATTCCTGTTCATTGTCCCAGAGCCCCTGCCCTCTGTCTCAGGACACTGCCTGTCCAGGCCAGGGCTCTGCCTGGGTCCTGCTGATCCCTCTCTCACGGGGTCAGCGGGGACGGGGCATCTTCCTTCTGGCCTCAGCACACGCAGCAGCGAGGAGCTCGAGTCCCTTTGAGGAGCTCTTCCATGCTAAGCACCTTTGCTGCCTGCATCGGTGGACATCAAGCCTGCGGCCATCCTGACAAAGCCTCCAGGTGACCACGGGGCGTGTTATTGCCCCCAGACCCCACAGGCGCCACAGTCGTAGCTGCTCTCCCTCTGCCCCTCTGTGTGCCAAAGGCTGCGTGTTTCTGCCCAAACGTGTCTTGCTCTTTCTGGCCTTTGCAAAGCCCTCTCCTCTACCCTGTGGCCCATTTGAGAAATCCCCACTCATCCCTTAAGATTTGGCTCACTTCTGTATCACCTTCTTCAGAAAACCAGTCTGAACCGCAGACTGAATCATGGCTCTGTGTGTGTGGCCAAAGCTCCTGTCTACCTCCTGCCACCGTGGACCAGAGGAGGTGGGCAGTTGCCACTGTTGGGCAGATCTGAACTCACTCTGAGTGCAGTGGGGACTTGGGTGGGGGGCACTGAGAAGGAGGTTGCTGAGATGGTGTTGGCCACAACAGGAAGCGTGAACGGGGAAAGCAACAGTTAAACTAGGAGAACCGGTGAGGGGCCACCGCGTGATGGCAGCCGGCTGGTTATTCTGGCTTCAGCTAAGGTGACAGGGAGTGGAGAGCACTCACTTTGGGGGTAATAGTGACAGTCTTGGGGGTGCATTGGAAACAATGGGTAGGGGAGTTAGTGAAATCAAGGATGGCACCTAAACGTATGGCTTGAGTTATGAGGTGAACGGCGGTGGAATTTGTGGGGTTAGGAAGTTAAGAGTGACCTAGAAGCACCTATGGAAGGGGCGTTGTGGCTGGGAATGACGGTGTGGCTCAGCACGCTGCTCGAGGCACCACCAGGTGTGCAAGAGGCCACGTCAGGGAGGCCAAGGACAGAAACCAGGGGCTCAGGGGTGGGTACGGATCCACCAGTCATGGTAGAGGCTCCTTTATGATGGCACCTAGTTATGTTCAGATGCAACTTTCATGAGAAGATTAAGAAAATCCACAAACAATACCTGTTGTTGCAAGCTCCTGTGATGAGCCTGTATTTGTTCGCCAGGCACGTGTTTGGGCATTTTGGGGGCAGCATGTAAGGGAGACATCCGGACATGTTTGCAATGATGCTCAGCAGATCTTCTGATAAAGCATCTGTGAAAAATGGGAAACCGTGAATTCTGTGCTTGTAACCACATATCCACCCAATAAATATTCTACGGCAGTCTCAAAAGTGGCTCCAGCATCTGAATTTGGGATTCATATGTAACTGGGGTCATTGTTTTTGAGAAAATCTGCTTTCTCCCTTTACATCAAGTACTCACTCATTTAATTCTCTTGAGCTTCCTTATTGCTAGAAATGTGGGGGTTTTAAAATTTATTTTTGCTCTGTGATCTTTCAGAAAAGCAATCTAAAAGCTCTCAGCCCCCAGGGGGATAAGCCAGCAAGTAACTTCGCAGTTACCATCAACCCTCACTGAGCACATCTCCAGGGCTCATTCAGCACAACTGCACAGTGAGGCATGTGTGCCTAGCAATGACCCCAGGGCTTTAGAAGACAGTGAGGAGTAGAATTTATCCCAAACCCTAATGTAGAAAAAAATCTTGCCTTGATGAAGATGGTACGCTTGTCTATAAAACCTTTCATTTTTCCTTTGTATTGATTTTTGGTTCCCTTGTAAATCTTTCCAGATGGGACGAGAGCCCACGAAACTATTTCCTGTTTTTTTTTTTTTTTTTGGATCAATTCTGTCACTATAATTTATATGTTATTCAACAAATCAAAGTGAGAGTGACTTTACTGTCCATTAGTAGAGGTAATCATGGATTACTTCTCCAAGACGTAAATCCAAAGATTTATATAAATCTTTGAGGATAATGCTACAAAACTTGGATTAACCAGATACCAGTGAAATTGAGATATTCAATAGAAAAAAAGCCAGGAAGGAAAGGTTTCCATTTTCAGATATGAGAGAAACAGACTAGTCTTTCAATCATGAATGCTCACTAACAGGCCAATGGGAATGGCTCTAGGTAGGTCTGCTAAGGCAACAGCAACTCGGGGAAGATCGGGCTCCCTGCAACACGCTGCCTCACACATGAAGTCCTTTCATTGAAGAGGTTTTATGAATGAGCTCGCCAAGTTTTAACTAAGGGGGGGCTGTGGGAAAAATTCCTAAATTATTTTATACCATACAAACGGATGTTTAGCTTAGTGAGCTTTTCAAGTTTGATTTGAATTGGAGAGAAACAGCTATTTTCCGGAGTAACAAAAATGAGATACTGAGATTGTTTGGTAAGCATTTTAAAAATTGCAGCTCGTATGTTTTGAAAGAGCTGGAGTCCCATCCTGCTCGGTCTCAAGTAAAAAACACGCCTTGAACAAGCAGCCCCTGGACAAAAATCAAGGCGTCCTCCCTCGGGAGTTGCGGCTTCTCAGTGGGGAGGGGGCGCCCGTTACCGGTTGGATGCTGTGATTGTTGAATTTTCAGGTTGACTTTTCTTTTCATCGCTTGTATTGATGTTTCCATTATCTCTGCTGCTCGGGCAATCTCTCCGCTAGTTGGCTCGGGAAGTTTGGAAAAAGACAGAAGCTGATGTGGGGAAAGGATTTCTCTTTTTTTGAGGTTTCTATGGCACATAAAGAAGATATAAAAGAGATTATTTGTCTGTGGTAGCTTTGGCACTTAATTATGAATTAATTAAGCAGACATTTATTGAGTAACTACTGTGTTCCAGACAATGTGCTGGGCACTGTGGGGTGTGCACAGGGAAAACACGCACAGTTGCTGTCCACGGGGTCACCGCTGTCCACGGGGTCACTGCTGTCCACGGGGTTGTCGGGTTTAGGAACAGGAATAGGGTGTAGGTGATGCATCAGTATTGAATGATGAGGAAAATGGCAAATCCTTGCCCTTTACAAAACTGTCGTATCAGAGTCAATTGGATTCTCATAACAATTGCTGACAGGCCGTCACATCCAAACCAAGACATGATTTGCTTATGTCCCAGCTAATGAAACAGGAGACTGGGCAGTGCACGGCCCTGCCTTGATCTCAGAGCCAATGCCTGCTGAGGCTGCCTGTGTCCCAGCTCCAACTTCTTCGCTTCCCACTCCA